GGACCCTTCAAAAATTAATTTTCGTAAAATTGAAGCAGAGACCTTTCATTTGATATACAACAACCTATAGTTGGCATAATATTCACTATATGGTCCTTGTGGCCCTTCAAAAATTGATTTTCGTGAAATTCAAGTGGAGACCTTCCATTTGATAGGTAACAACCTATAGTTGGCATAATATTCACTATATCGCCTTTGGGACCCTTCAAAAATTAATTTTCGTGAAATTCAAGTGGAGACCTTCCATTTGATAGGTAACAACCTATAGTTGGCATAATATTCACTATATGGCCTTTGGGACCCTTCAAAAATTAATTTTCGTAAAATTAAAGCAGAGACCTTTCATTTGATAGGTAACAACCTATAGTTGGCATAATATTCACTATATGGCCTTTGGGACCCTTCAAAAATTAATTTTCGTGAAATTAAAGCAGAGACCTTGTATGTATGTATGTATGTATGTATGTATGTATGTATGTGTGTGGGCGGTCCGGGACCTGACGCACTTAGGCCTCCCTTTTCGGGCCCATTGTGCACCCACATTCCTGGGATCGCAAGTCAGCCATGGAGAAGGCCGATCTCGCGAGCAAAAGAGACCAACTTCCTAGGCCAAATCTTCTTAACATCCTCTGGGTCCAGGATACTGCTCCCAAAATGGATATCCCTTGCTGCCACTATTGCCGGGCATTCAGTGAGGATGTGAGTAGAAGTCTCTTCATCCTCTAGGCACCATCTGCATTCTGGATCCTCCACAATCCCGATCATGCTGAGATGTTTGTTCAGGTGGCAGTGCCCTGTCAACAGGCCCACCACCAGTTTCAGCTCCTTCCTGTTCAAAGCCAGGAGGGCATTGGTCTGTCTTCGTGACGGGTTTCCTATATGGAGTTTGGACTGCCTCATTCGAGGAGCCTTTCCTCAGCTGTCCTGAACCTTTTCCGTCAGGATTTCCTTCATCTTGGAGTTGCTCCAGGATCGAGTGACCCCTAAGATTGGCTCTGGGCCAATCACTGAACCTTTCGCCCCCTTTCTGGCCAGACCATCGGCCATTTCGTTACCTGGTACCCCTGAGTGCCCAGGGACCCACAAAAGACATACCTTATTCGTTGCTGACAGCCTTTGTAGGCTATCTATGCACTCTGACACCAAGGCGGAGGTCACCCTATACGAGGTGAGCGCCTTGATCGCCGCCTGGCTGTCAGTGCATATAGTGATTTGCTGGCTGTGATAGCCCCTCTCGATATTCTCTCGAACACATGCAAGTATTGCAAATACTTCAGCCTGAAAAATCGTGGCATGTTTCCCAAGGGTATAGCAGTGATTTGCCCTTGGAGACTGCCCATAGACCCCAGCACCTGCGCATTCTTTCATCCTGGAGCCATCTGTATACCAGATGATGCCCTAGGTGGGTATTATGCAGTGCCCATTCTGTTCCCAGTCTATCCTAGTAGGAATCTTGACTTGGGGCATTTTCCTGAATCGAATGATCGGTGTTATGCTGTCCCCTTTCATACTGAGTGAGGGGAAGTCGTCTGTAATTTGCTTTCAGAGGCGAGAATGTCCGTATGTTCCTTCGCTCCTCCACTGGTTACAGCTTTGTAAGCGAACGGCGGCCTTCATCGCCTCATGTTCTATATACAGGTTCAGAGGCGGCAGTCCGGTCAGAGTCTCCAACGCCCTTGTCGGCGCCGTCCTCATTGCTCCTGTTATGGATATGCTGGCCAGTCGTTGAACTCTGTCGAGCTGACTCCTCGACTTGCCTGTCAGCGTCCCCGGCCACCATACGATGGCCCCATATGTTATCATTGGACGTATGAGAGCGGTGTACACCCAGTGAAGGATACCTGGCTTGAGCCCCCACGTTCCCCCAAACGTCCTTCTGCACGCCCAGAACGCTGCCGTAGCCTTCTGGACCTTCCTCTCAATATGCTCGTTCCAATTGAGCCTAGACTCAAGAATGACTCCTAGATATTTGGTGGAGCCTTTATACCGCAGGGACTTGCCCGATAGTCGTATATCGGGGAGGTCCCCTGCCTTGCGTTTTCTGGTGAAAAGTACTACTTCCGCCTTTTCAGGGTTAGCTCTTAGCCCCGTGCTACGACACCAGCGGTCCACCCCGTCCAGGGCCCGTTGTGCCTGTCTCCGACTGGGAGTGAACCCCCTACTGTCGATCAGGATGACTATGTCATCTGCGTAAGCCTGGATATAGTATCCCATGCTATGTATCTTCGATAGGAGGTCGTCCACGACGAGGCACCATAGAAGGGGTGATAGCACCCCTCCCTGCGGGCAGCCTCTTGATACAACGGCCTCCTCGAGGCTGTTTTGAAGAGTGGCTCTCACTATCCTTCTCGAGAGGAGTGCGTGTATCCACTTTATCCAAATTGGACTAACACCCCTCTCCTCCGCTGCACGACATATAGAGTCAAATGATGTATTGTCAAATGCTCCCTCAATGTCTATGAATATCCCAAGGGCAGAGTCCTTGCGATCTAACACCCCCTCAACTTTATGAACGAGTCGATGAAGAGCCGCGTCAGTACCCCTACCACTTTGGTACGCAAATTGAAGGTCACTGAGTGGTGATTCGCTCAGTGGCCCCTCTCTGATGTGACGATCTACCAGTTTTTCTAACGCCTTTAACAAAAACGATGTGAGACTGATGGGCCGAAACGATTTTGCCTGCGTGAAATCAATTTTTCCAGGCTTCGGTATGAAGATCACTATAGCTGTTCTCCAGGCCTTGGGGACATACCCGTGTGCCAGACAGCTTCTGAAGATCTTCAGGAGATGTAGAATGAGGATGTCCAGTCCCTGTTGTAAAAGGGCCGGACAGATTCCATCCTCACCTGGTGATTTGAAGGGTGAAAAGGATTCGATTGCCCATTTCACTCTGTCATATGTTACAATTTTTGAGGCTATCGTGAAGTCGATCCGAGCTTCGACTGAGGTGACAGCCTCATAATCAGGCTGCAGAAAGGTGCAACCTGGAAAGTGCGTGGAAAGCATATGCTGTAGCGTCCCTCCATCCGATGAGGTGTAGCTCCCATCGGGAAGGGTCACCGTCCCCAGCTTAGCCCTCGGGTCCTTGGAGAGAACTTTGTTGAGCCTTGCCGCCTCAGGAACAGTATTTATTCCTTGGCAGTACGCTCTCCACGAGTCCCTGCGAGCATCGCGGATCGCTCTTTTGAATTCCCTCTGGGCCAGTTTGTACTCTTCCCAGTGGGCCCGTTTTTCTGTTCTTTTGGCTTTATTCAACAGCTTTCGGACTTTCTTTCGATGGAGTTCAATTTTTGAATTCCACCATGGTGTTTTGCCTAGACAGTCTGTCCTTTTCAGGGGACAGCTGGCTTCGTATGCTTCGACTATGGCAGAATTGAGACATCCTACGAATGTCTCTATTTCTGCTTCAGAGCCATATCGTGATGGCATGTTCCAGAGTCTACCTTCAAGCTCCTCTCGGTAGAGGTTCCATCTGGTTGCTCTGGGGTTTCTGAACCATCGGTTTTCCTCTTGGATATGGCCTGTTACTGGAAACAATATATGACGGTGATCAGACAGACTTTCCTCCGTCGACACACGCCAGTTACTGACCCTACCTGTTAGCTCTGTTGAGCATAACGTCAAGTCAACGATTGTCCGCGCTATAGGCGTGAAATATGTTGGCACTGTTCCTCTATTAAGGATCTCCAGATTACTGGAGCTCAGAAATTCCAGAAATGCCCTGCCTCTCGGATTGACGTCGCGATTCCCCCACAGTGTATGATGCGAGTTCGCGTCGCATCCAATCATCAAGGGCAGTCCCATCTCCTCACAGTGCCTTACAAGACTCCCTACCTCAGGAGGAGGGTTTGCCATTTCGTAAGGGAAGTAGGCTGAGCATACTATAATGTCACTCATGCTTCCCTCTGTTGTACTGTTAACCTTGATTCTGATCGCTACCAGGTCTCTGTAGCAGAATCCTGGTAGCATAGTCGCGATAACACCTTTCGCGTATATGCATGCTCTTGGCTTCGGGCTAGAAGTGCTGTAATACAGTGTCCCTCCCGCTTGCCCCATTCCTCTCACTCTGTCTTGGTGTACCCAAGGTTCCTGAATGAGTGCCAGATTTATTTTGAGCTCCCTTAACCTCCTGCATAGGAGAGCCGTGGAGGCTCTCCCATGCTGCAAGTTAGCCTGCAGGAAGCTCAGGGAAGAGGACTTATGGGTCGCCATTTGATGGCCTAGTCGCTCTTCCCGTCCGGAGGGGCATGGCTTTCGCCACGTCCCTCTTCTTCCGGACTTCTCTCCACCAGAGGACGACCTGGGCCGTCCTCTGTCAGAGTTGTGTCCTCTGCTGTCTCAGAGGCATCCATTTCTTCGGACGCCTCTGGCTTCTCTCCTTCCCGGTCTTCCTTGGACCCCCAGCTCACCTGTGCCCGCGAGGCACTGAAGAACAAAGAGCCCATAGCCTCCTCGATAGCTGCTATGGACTTACTGTTTATCCCAACTATCAACGTTAGACCGCGTTTCTCCTCCCTCCTGTTCCAGACTCTCCACTGAGAGGTGGACAGGTTGGGATTCTGCCTTTCCAGGACACTCAGTATGTCCTGGTTAGGCAGCCTCCCTGGAATTCGAACAACGGTCCTTTGGAGCCTGAATTGCTCTGGGTCGATGGCAACCAGAGTTACGCCCTCCCAGGGTCTGATTTCTGTCAGACTCCTGAGGAGCCAATCTCTGGAGGCCTCGTTTGCTGCGGTTACCAGCAGTTGCCTACGCCATAACCGCGTTGATGTGAACTGCGGGGGTGGATCATTGGACGCCGTTGGCGTCCCCATGATCACCCCCCCAACAGCATCTAGGAACTCCAGCATCTGGTCCTCAGTAAATTCCGCTTCAGGTTGCCCTTCGCGGCTGATGACCACCTGCAGGGTCCTATCTGCGGCTGCCACCTGCGAGTAGCTTGGCTGCCCCGTATGCGTCCGCCCTGCGTCTACAGTACCAGACCGGGGTCGCTTCGCCACTCGCGAGGTGTCAGTCGGTGTGGAACCCGGCGTGCGGCTCCGTTTTGTTGATTGCGTCATTCCTGACGCATTGTTCTTGGCCTTGACAGCCTTAGGGTGCACAGCAGGTTTACCTTCTGCAGTGGATCTTCTTTGAGGCCCACCACTTCCAGGTTTCCCTTGCGCTCCCCTAAGGTCATCCTTAGGCCGTCTCTCGGCCACTGTTTTCGCACCAAGGAATTTCGAGGAAGTTCCCTGAGAGGACGAAGGCGCTTTGATTGCTTCCTTTTCCCTCTCTTTCTTCCTCCTCTTCCTTTCAGCACCACAGGGCCTTTTCACCTTAACCTTCGAGAAATCCGAGGCCAGATCAGACACGTCCGAGTCTCGAGAGAGATCCTCGGATGTGCCGGGTTTTGACGAGGGGTCAGTTTCGGGAGCAACAGGCGTCGGTGCGCCTGTTGGGGTTAGGGAGCTGGAGGTCGCCAGGGTGGCAGCCTCCAGGGTTGAGGGAGGAGTGGAGGTCATCGATGTGACGTCCTCCTGTGCTGGGTGTTGGGAGGTCTCCTCAGTGGATACCTCCCGGGCAGGGGTTTCGTTAGACTCCGAAGAGTCTTCCGAGGACGAGATTTGACCACCTCGTCGAGGTTTTTCTTTTGTTGTTTTATTGTGGTCCATGTTGTTCCCACGAGTAAGGGGGACATAAAGGTCGCCACACGCGGTGCCCCCTGCACGTGTGGAAGGCTTTATAAAACTGGGTGCGCCTGTTTCCCAGAGTTTTGCCGCTAATGGTCGAGTTCCCCTCGACCATCCATCCCTTCGGCGCGCACAATACCTTAGGATTAGGGGAGGTTTTTAGAGTGGCCTCACCACGCGGCCCAGGCGATTAAGCCAAGACCCCCGTGCCCCTCGTGACGCATACCACCGGACACCATGGCGTCCTGTGGGTCGTTGCAATCACGAACGGTTTACGGTTTGTGCCGTGGGCTGGTCCGCGGTGGTAGATTTTGGCAAAGGATTTTGGAAGTTTTTAGGCCTCCGCACCCTACGTATAGCTACCACTGACCAAGGCCGTGAGGCCCTGGCCGTCCTCCTATCCGCCACCTTGGAGACGCGCCTTTAGGTTATGCCCAAACCCAAGGGCAGAGACCTTTCATTTGATATACAACAACCTATAGTTGGCATAATATTCACTATATGGCCTTTGGGACCCTTCAAAAATTAATTTTCGTAAAATTGAAGCAGATACCTCTTAATTAATATATTACAAGCTATAGTTGGCATAATATTCACTATTGACCCTTGAGACCCTCCAAAAGTTATTTTTCGTGACGACCTTTTTTGTTTCATTTTTTCAGACGCCCTATTGGTGAAATGGTATTCACAATACCCAATTTTAAGTAGTAATCACAAAAATACAAATGAAGTCGAACTCACCCCATTTTATCCAGTTGCCTCAGACGACCACTTAGCAGAAAACTACTTGATAACACTAACTTGCTGAACAGAATGAACTACGTGCGATCATAGACAAACACTTTCACCTCACGATTTGTATTAATTACGTAAATATCAATGCGATCATGGAGCTAGGTGTGGAGCACTTGTTATTGAATAACGTAATTGATTCTTTACGGACTTGATTATCGTAATGGCAGTCAACATTGAATTAATCTCATTGCAATAAGGTGTAATGAGCACAAACACCCACGGAGGGGATTCTAACTCAAATAATATCAATCAAAAACTCACCCAATTCACTCCAATTTCCTCAGACACATACTACCACCATAGATAGCCACAAGAACACTAGTTTTACTAACAATATGCTTCTGCAACTTGCTACATCACGAAAATATAGTGTCTACACGTCCGTCAAAGCACACTTTTAGGAAATGAATGAAAATGTGTGATGAAAATAATTACAAATACCTTACCACTATTTTTTTCATTGTTTTCGAATAACAAACAGCATCTGAAACAAAAAAAAAATTAATTCAACATCAAACATCTTTTGAGAAATAAATACCTATTTTAAGGCAAATACCATCAATAAATCAAATGAATCTTCCAATACTGCATCGTTTGCGTAGTGCAATTTATATTCACCACACACCCCGAATTCAATCGCATTATCTGGAAGGAAATCGTGGTCTGCATTGGCCCCATAAAATAATATGATATTCAAGTGCTGAAAAATATCAATTCAAGTTTTTAAAATCATGCTCACATAATCAGAACACTCAGTATACTAACCCTAATGCATTCCGGCAATTGGCTTCGAACAATGCTCTCCTGTATGGATCCTGAAAAACACCCTCAATTAATATTATACATGATACTTCACAGGAAAATGTACTCACCAATTTCTCCATTCATGATGAGGGTAGGTTAGGTTAGTCAGTATGGATGAAACAATAAAAAAAAGTGATCGTGAATTCTGAGATTGCTTTTTTATAAACGATTCATTGAGGGAGGGAAGGATTAGAATGTATGTATCATCTTGAATAGTTCATGTTCTGCGGTAATGAAAAATTTTCCACAAACTAAAGCTACTATCACACGATGGGTTAAAGACAGGAATATATGTTCATTTGATAGTAACAAACTAGCATTCCTTCACGACCTGTTGGACAATTATACACAACCTTCTTACTTACATATGCATCACGACAATCGATTACATTAATGACATACATGATTATTGGTATGTTAATCGATGATCGAGCGTGATAAACAAACACACCTAGCAAATTATTATTGAATTCATTACACTGATGAGATCATGGCATAGGAAACGTAAACAGGGTGATTTCTGGACCAAAGACTGGCAACGAAAAATGTTACCGAAATTTAGGAACCAGGCACCCTAGATACATTCTAAGTTATGCATGACGTCGGGGTTCTTCAGTTCACACACCAGGAGCTCTGCAACGTCTTCAACTGCACTTGGAGGAACTCGATGACCGTTTGGGCCAGATTGAGCATAGAGCGTTCTGGGTCCACAACTCTCCTAAATACTCTACTACCGCGATAATTATTACTATTATTGAAACGGTAATCAAATCCTCTATCGTTCCTTCCAAAATGCAAATAATTTGAAGTATCTGCATCTGTATTTATATTTACAAATTTTTGAATAGCTTCTTGAACAGAAACAAAATTTCCAGCTTCCATGACTAATCGCGTTCTCTAAGAGGAGGCATTTTTTGTCAGGGATCTCACAGCAACATCAGCAGAATGAGTTTGTGCCACGTTATTTGGCACTCCTGCTATGAATGCTCTTTTGAGATTAGATGTCAGTGATTCAATTTCGGAAGTATATTTTAAAGCATCTTGAGAAAACTGTTTCAATTTCAATAGCTTGAATGTTAATATTTTGGGAATTTCTCCTTTTATGCCATTTTTCAATGCCGTAATTATTTCTGGTAGGCTCATTTGGTCAGTTATAAGATCACGAGCTCTGCCTGTTGATCTTGTTTTTACAAATGGTACCGCCCGATCCTCATGATCATCAGAATTAGCCTGAAGAAGAGTCAATGAATCTGAGAATGACTGTAATTCATCTGGTGAACCATCAAAATTACCTGAAACCAATTTACTGGTCAGATTGAAAAATTCTTCAACTGTCAATGCAATTGTCTCTCCAGCTTCTTTGTCAGATCCTTCTAATAAAAGTGGATCTATAGCTAGGACGTAGGTACCTTGTACTTTACGTCTAATGACTGAAACAATCTAACAACTTTATCTCTACTTTGCATGAAAAGTTGCCTACTGGCATATTCTTCTTGGTCATCCAAAGTATTCGAAGATTCGGCCAATATATTTGTGAAGTCGTTGAATGATTTCACTAAATTATTTCGAATTTCAGTACGAATCAATTCACTTCTAGGTACTTTCTTCTTTATAGCTCGTTTTGATTCATCAATTATATCTAATTTTATTTCTGGAAGATTGAAATGAATGTCTTCCCAACTATGAGGCATTTGATTTTGAAGTATCAAAAAAATGGGCACAACAATCAAAACAACAAGTTAACTTCATTCAAACAACTTGAAATTGGAAGTTTCACACCTCATGAGAAATAAAAAATACTAGAAATTGAAAACGTAATTTCGAATTCTCACCAAAATTTTAACCATACATTGCAACAAAACCAGACTTCATTCTTTTGAGTTAACTTTGATTCACTGCATTCCATGTTGGCTTTATATCGACGTGGACCCAGAGTCGAAACGTGGATTGTTTTTCATGAAAAATGTGGGTCACTCACCAAAATCTTCGCTTTCTTAGTTTTTCATTTTTTTTCTTTCGAGATTTAAGAATATAGAAACCAAACCCAGCTAGAAATCCATTCTCCTGCGTTGACGTTGGTCATTTCTCCTTCAGCTCCCTTCTTCCAATAACACAACAGGTCACAAATGATTGTCTGTCTCCAAAATTTTCAAATTGTCTTGGAATTATGGTTGTAACGCTTCACTGATGTAAACTGATGTCTCTTCTTATCTGCTTTTTCATAAGTCTTATAACTTTTCGAAACTTGCAAAGCAAATTGCAGACACGATGACAACTATGATGTACAGCATCTCTTTCACATCGAAGCTTGCGTTGTATTGTTTCTCTTGCACGATGAAGTTAGAATTTACAACTCCATTTTCCGTAACATCTTGGGCAGTTGACTTCGTTTGTCTCATCCTGTATATAATGACGGCACTGGTTTTCACACAATTTTCGCATCATTTCACCAGATCAAACACTATAATAACTTGTGTTCAACTGACAGGATCGCCATGTGATGGCAAGAATTGGGATAGGTGTAGATCATACGCTCTGTATATATTGTTCTATTTTATTTTTTTTCATTTTAGCGGTACACCATTTCAACAGCCGAGGCCAATTACAGAATGGGAAAATAACAAATTTGGTCCAAAATCTATGTGGATATTGTAACAAAAAACAAAACAGAGAGAAGGAAATGAAGATATAAACATAAAATAAATGACACACTGCATAACGATGTGTATGAACTGAAAAAAACTACGGTGAGAAAAAAGTTCATACAGAGCGCTACAAACAGTGTTAAAACAACAACAAACAATATAAACATATTATGGTAAAGTAGCCCTTTTGATGTCTATAGGTTTGCAGGAGAAAATATCTATTCTATTCTGAATTGACAAGTAATCACGACATATTTTATACAGAGGCGAAAAAAAAAAGAACATTTGTTTGAGCGACTGGCAGCTAAAACGTGGTGAAACTGCGTACAGGTAGCCTAGGAACGTGCAAATTAAAACGTGCAACCAGGTATGGGCAGTCAATACGCGAGACTAAGATCTTGTGTAGAAATAAAATTCCCAAATATGTACGACGTTCTTCTAGGGAGTTGACTTGAAATCTAGAAAGAAGTGTATCGTGTGGTACACCCCGCATCGGATAAGATCCATCACATCTGAAACTGATGTACTTCAGAAATCGCCTCTGAATTTTCTCCAAATTATCACTATACGTGGTGTATCCAGGATTCCAGACAACGCAGCCATATTCAAACCTTGACCTCACAAGCGCATCAAAAAGGATTAAGTAGGTTCTAATCCCAGGTTTTAATCCCAGACAACCATTTGGAGTTTCTGATAATGGAACCCAGTGTTTTAAAACCATTCGCCGTTTTTTCGGGTACAATAATATACAAGCCTCCGAGATATATATTAATACCTCGAACGAACGA